TAGGAATAATAATTTATTTCTATGTCATTTCCAATTCTGGTTTTATTCTCAGATTTTTTTTCAGTTTTTCCTCTTCATTGTATATTAATAGGTCAGTATTAGCCCACACCAATACCAACCATAACCCCTGGAAGCAGAGCCTGGTTTGGATGCTTGGGGACTCCGCTTACTGGGAGGACAGTTTGGGCAAGCATGCTCATGGAAGGAAAAACAGGGTAAGGAAAAGTTCAGAAACCCCCTCATTAGAAACTGCATACACTAGAGATGTTTGAGGGATTCACAGTAACTCTTTTTAACAAATATAATATAAGATATTAGAAATTTTGATAATATCTTTAGATTTAGATGTTCCATGGGAAATATGACAGGTTTCCAAATTTTATGAGGAGGTTTTGGAAGAATATGAAAACATCATATCAACCATGGTGGACATTTAATTTTCTTAAGGAAATTTTCTTAAGGAAAATCTGAAGAATAATAAAATAAAAAATTCTTCTAGGGAAGTTTGGGAATTCTCTCTAGGCTGAGAAATGGTTCCAGATTTCAATTTTTAGTCTTTAGTCTGTGGATCAATTATTTCACAGGTAATCAGGTCACACTTTTCTAACTCACTGGTGTTAGCAAAACTGAACATTAAAGTGTTTTTTTTCAGGCTATACATTATTGGCTACAAAGACACTAAAGGCTTTTTGGAGTATTGAGAGCTGTTGTGCTGTTATTCTAATAAAATTGCTTAGTGGGTTGGCATTTGGAGTGATTAGGTTTAGGTTGTTGTTACAGTCCTGCACACTTTGGACTTTTCCACATAAAACATGTCAAATTATGAAACTGTGGTCAGCCAAGGGCCTTGATCAGAATTTTATGCTCTGATATATTCATCATAAGAACTTCAGATTTACAATTTGAAGTCCTAATCATGGTAAATACCTATTCATTCAACAGCTCATCTCTGATGGATGCAAAGACCCTTAACAAAAATGGCCCTAAAAGGGGCCATTTTTTCCCCTGTGATATATGGCTCTGCTACCGCCCATAGAAAGTAAGTGCAATAAATTATTGTGGCCAAAGACAGGGTGTTGAAATCTAAAGTCCAATTTGATCTCACTGCCTTCTCTGTTTTGCAAGGCACACTTAACTGTCATTGCTATTGTTATTACTGCATTTGGTACATAAAATAAATGATTATCTTATAACCATTTATGAATTAATAGTATCTAAATAGTAAGATATTCAATTTTTTCTTATGAGTTTTTATAATTCAAATAAAATAATCTTGAGGTTTTACAAGTATTAATAGAAGTAGGCTAAGAAATAATCTACTCTTATAGCTGAATAGTACTCCATGGTATACATATACCACATTTTATTAATCCACTCATGTATTGATGGGCACTTAGGTTGCTATAAGAAACAATGGTGATATAGCACCTCTTGCATTTTCCTGGATAGAGCTGGAACCCATTCTACTAAGTGAAGTATCCCAAGAATGGAAAAATAAGTGCCACATGTATTCACCAGCAAATTGGTTTCATTGATCAACACCTAAGTGCTCATATAGGAATAACATTAATTGGGTGTTGGGCAGATGGGAGGGGGGAGGAGGGGATGGGTATATTCGTACATAATGAGTGTGATACGCACCATCTGGGGGATGGCATGCTTGAAGCTCTGACTGGGGGGGGAGCAAGGGCAACATACATAACCTAAACATTTGTACCCCTATAATATGCTGGAAAAAAAAGAAATCATCTATTTCTATTTCAAACTAATTTTTTTATAGATGAGTAAACTGAAGTCTAAGGTTAAAAAGTAGGTGAATAATAAAAGCAGAACTTAAACTGCTGTTCCTAAACTTTTTACTGATGGGCTTTCCATTATTATGCACTGATTCCTGTTTTAAAATGAAGATATTTCCCAGTCTCGAGTTTCCTCTTTATTATTAACTTAGGAATAAAAAGCTTTATTTAATCACCCAAGTCTATGGGATTTTAGCAAAACACTTTAACAGTATTTCAGTTTTACTACTTAAAAATATAATTCATTCTTTTAAAAATAGTAAAGCACAGGCATTACAGATGATTCTCTATGCATGTTTACAACTATATCAGCAATTCCTTGCATATATACATAACCATATACACACACACACACATATATACACACACAAACACACACACACCTTTCAAGAATGCCTTGGCTTATATAAAGGTGGAGTCCTACGATTTAATATATTTTAAAACTATCAGGAGTGCTTCTCATAAGAGAAATCCTATATTTACAATGCTAAATATTCAAGTAGATTGAGGAAACAGCTAGAAAAATTGGAAAGGAGGTTTGTTCCTTTCTGTTCCCTTTCAAGGGCAGAATGGAAAGTGAGGTGTGAAGTTCAGAACTATGTTTCTTGGTTCCATATTGAAAGATCTTGGAATCACAAGTTGATGTAATTTTAATAGTGCATATCATTCCCATCACTTTGGGTACTTCGGGAGGTGTTTCCTTCTGTCTGGGTCTGTTAACATGTTCACGCAGCCTGCCATCTGAGAAGGAATTTTCCCTGGCGGCCATGACCTAATTTCAAGGTTCTGGCAGATGCACGCAGGCAACTGACAGCCCAGGTTTTCCTATTTAGCATATTAATCGTCTACATTTTTAGCATGCAGCCATGATAAGAGGAAGCCTGTGAAGGATTTGCCAGCTTTTCTCAAGTCAGCCTGTTAAAACAGTCTCTGTACCCCTGTAGACCTCAGATTTCTCCATGCTTTTTTTTTTTTTTTACACTCATCTCTGAGCTTCCAGTTTCTGACTGGTGTTCAGATTTGAACATATGCTATATATAATGGAAAGTGATTGGATTCTAGAAGATGCCAGAGTTTACTAGCTCAGAAAAAGATGGGCCTGCTGCCTGAGCAGGCCTCTTTGTTTTTTGATGACATATTTTTTCCATTTATTTTCTTTTATATCTGTTCCTATAATCCAAGGAAGGGTATTTCATTCTTCTAGAGCAGAAGTAAATGCTTATGCAAAGCCAAATGAACAATTATATTGTTCAGATGATATGTATTTCTAGTGATAAAATAAGAGAAAATCTTATCGATTTGGTATTCAAAATCTTTTTATGTTGTGGAAAAATAAAAATTTCAGCGTTTGCAAATGTTATAGAATCTATTGTATGAGAAATATCTCTGGGCTTGCCTGAAATATTTTTCTATTTTATTTCTTCATAAACATAGCAAATATTTACTTTTTTGCAATTTATAATTTACAGGAAAGGAAACAGGCTGTTATTTCCATAGATGAAATTCTATTTCTAGGCTTATTTCATCTACTTTTGATTTGCTTTATTTGTTTTAATGACATGATTTTTTGGCCAAAGCATTTTTTCCTTTTCAAATAGTCTTAGACTACTAGTGCTATCCAGAAAGAAAGTGTAATAATAAAAATATCGGTATTTTTAATTGTCATGTTGAATTTTTTGTTTCTTTCTGAGAATTCAGCTAAAAGTTGGTAAAACAAATGAAAAAACAAAGGATAGTTCTGAAAAATCACATTTTTCCCATTTATATGTCTTGGATTCTTTTTTATGGCTGTGCATTTTTTTTTTTCTTAAAGGCATTTACAGAGAGAAATAAACAAACTCACCAAACAGGGCTAATTTGAAGACAGACACAGTTGACTTAGTAGTAAGAAGGCAGAAAAATTATCTACCAGTAGTCAAGACATTAAAAATTATCTGAAAATAAGGCTTAAGATAAAAGATTGAGTACATGCAAGAATAGGTTTCTTAAAGATCTCCTGCTAAAGTTGATAATTCTTCATGCTCCTATGCCCTATGATAACTATATTTTACCATTTTAAATGTAAATAAAAATGACTTCCAGGCTTATTTGATTATAGACTGAATTACTCTATCACAGGATGGCAAGCAATGACTAATAGATTCCCCATAATGGAAGTCTGGAAGACTCCATATTCTCGGTAAAAGACGGTAAGAAAAAAAACCTGCAGATTTTTCTTTCATTCACACTCTTTTACTTCTTGCATTAGTCCTGTCAATCTATATTAAATTATTAGGTCACCTAGAAGGTCTTACCTTTGGCAGACAAGTTTTAGGGTAATTTTTCTGACTAGCAACCTGAAGGCCAACATAGTAAATTTTGAAAAATCAATTACATTGCAGGAAAGGCTTGCACAACATAAACACATCTTGCCCACTTGTCAACATGGGTAGAGATATTCATATTCTAATAAGTGCAATGACAGAATTTCATTTTCAGAATCTGGACTTCTTAACTTTAGCAGTGGCAAAGTATTAAAATAATGAGTTTTGCTTCTTTATTACTTTCTATAAAACTTAACAGCCTCTCTGTACATTGCAAACACTCTAAGACCATGCGGACTTTATACATTAGCTAAATTGCCTGAGCACTTTTTCTAACTAAATACAGCTGATTCCTGGAGGTAGAGAAGAAAAGGCGAGGATTGCACCATTGCGGGATGAGATAAAGGACTGCTTTACCCACATTAATGATCTCTCACCTGAGAGAGTCAACAGGTGCTGGAATAAATGAGTGTATAAAGCTGTGCGTTAATAAGAATATTTCTCTACACAGAAAGATGAGAGAACTATATTCCTGTTGTACACCCCAAGTCATAGTTATTGTTAAGTAAACTTGAGTAGCTTAGATGAAGAAAGGGACATTCTTACTATATTTAAATTAGAGATGCCATTGTGTAATATTTTCAGTTTAGAATCAAAAAGAAAATGACTTTTTCTGCCAAAGAGGAAAGTGTAAAACTGTTTCCTTCTCCACCATATGCCACGAGAAAAAAAAAATCACAAATGTCAAAGATGTCCATGGGCTTAAGGAAGCAGACCAGCTAGAAGGATCAATACATATACAAAACCCATTCTCAGCTCAAAAATAAAGCAAAATCCAATATTTAATGAGCATATTAGAGAGGAGAAGAGTTGTAAGACATGTACTTAAAGTAAACTTTACCTTGAGGTACATATGTCTTCAGATTTCTCATTTTTGGATTTTTGAACGTTCTATTTCATTTGTCTGGAAGTTCTATTCTCGACACATCCTTTGTATTGTTCTAATTTTTCCTTGTGGAGCAACCGTCTCACCTCCTCCAGCAGAATATTATATATGCCTCTCTTTCTTCATTTGATTTTTCTCCAATTAGAATTTGAGAGCCTTAGAACAAGATTATGTCTTGTTTGTAATAGCCTCCCCAGCTTCTAGCGCACTGCTTGATACCTAAAGGTAATAAACAAATGTTTATTAAATAGGTGTGTTAACTAAAGCAAAACCTGAAATTTAGTAACTAAAACACATCACCAAATCCCAAAGCATGCAAGGAAGACACAGAATCATTGGAATGTAATAAGTCTAGGAAAATAAAACAGAAGAAAAACTAAAATCTTCTCTTAAATTCCCATATTCGGTTTCTCCAACTTTACAATTGATAAATTATAAGGCTTCAGCCTAAAGGCAGTGCCATTGCTAATGCATTCAAACTTGTCTCTTTTGGCTACCTGAGCACTTTATCCATCTTATTTAATAGGCAAAATTTATTAATGAGAAATTGTATGTGACAGCTTGTCTTTAAATATTGAAACTTCTGTGCCTGGTAATTTCTGTCTCTGATTATTTTTACCAGAAGTATATCATCTTTATGAGTCTTCAAAAAAACAACTTTTTACTTTTTTTTTTCTATTATGAGTTTGTTAGCAATTCTATAATTTTAGTTTTTATGTTCTTATTTCCATTTAATTTGAGTTTAATTTTCTGTTATACTTTCAATTTCTTGTGCTAGATACACAGAACATTAAATTTCAGCCTTTTTTCTTTATTAACATATAAATTTAAGGCTATAAATTTTTCTCTAAGTGTAGATTTAGTTTTATCCACAGGTTTTGATTCAATTTTAAAAATTCCCAATTTCTATTTGTGATTATTTTTCCATCCACATGTACTTAGAAGTATATTTTAAATTATGAACTACTGGCTACTTTCTAGCTATGCTACTGTATTGATTTTGAGTTTAATTCCACTATAGTCAGAGAACACACTCTTTTTATTTCATTCTTGGAAATTAGTTGATATTTGCTTTATTCTTTGCAATTGATCATTTTTCATCTATGACTTCTTGAAAAGATTATGTAGCACGTCATCTTTGAGTATTCAAAGGTTTAATATAGGTTAATTAAGTCAAATTTTAAATTGTGATACAAGTTTATATCCTTATTGATTTTTTCATCTGCTTGTTCTGTCAGTTACTGATAAAAAAGTATTATCATTTTCCTTTAGGGTGTGGCTTTCTCTGTTTTTCCTCTAAATACTTTCAATTTTAATATAATTAGAGATGCAGTTTTCTGGAAGACTGATGACTTCGTTATTATGAAATATTCTTATTTATTTTTAATAATGATTCCTGCTTTGAAGTTTATTTTGATGTTAGTACAGCTAAGCCAGCATATTTGTTTTTTGTCTTTGGATAGTATTTGCATGGTATATCATTTTTATCTTTCTATATCCTTAAATTAAAGGTGTATCTTTTGTAATCAAAGCTTAGTTGTTGTTTTTTTTTATCTCTGTCTTTTATGGGCTGAATTGCTTCCCTCAAAATATTCATGTTGAAATTCTAACCCCTAATACCTCAACATGTCACTATATTTGGAGATAGGGTTTTCAAAAAGGTAATTAAGTCAAGTTATTAGAGTGGGTCCTCATTCAATGTAACTCGTGAGCTTATTATAAGAAGAGAAAATCTGGACAAAGGCAAGTACAGAGAGAAGAACACAGGAAGACACAGGAAGAAGTTTAACCATCTACAAGCCAAGCAGAGAGGCCTCAAAAGAAGTCAACCCTGCCAACACCTTCATTTTGGCCTTCTAGGCTCCAGAACCTTAAGAAATAAATTTCTGTTGTTTAAACCACCCAGTCTATGGTGCTTTGTTATGGCAGTCGTAGGGGGTGAACACAGTCGTCTAATTGGATTATTTATTTGCATTTAAAAAGTGTAGACTTAAGATAACTACTAATCTATTTGGGTTTAAATTTGCCACCTTATTTGTTTTCTATTACTTTGTACATTTTTTCTCACTATATTTCCTTTGAATTAATAATATTTATTTTATTTTTATCCTCTATTAGATTATTAATTAAATATTATTTTACAATCTGTTTACTGAGTACCCCTAATAGCATGCTTGCTTGATTCAAAGTTTTTTTAAAAAATGCAAAGATGGCCGACTGGATACAGTCCATATGTGGCTCTGCCATGTTTTAGTAAGCAGATTCTCACATTTGAACAGATCATATAGGAGAAAATGTTAGGATTGACCATGAGAAGGAAGCCATGAGAAGGACTAAAAGTGGGTGAGGAGAGGGTTGAGGGCAATGTGTCCAGCCAGGGGTTGATTAACATCCAGGAGAAGCTCCTAGATGCAGTGAAATAGTAAGAGAGAAGCCCCCAGGGCTCCACTCTCTGAGACAGGCTTTTATGATTTTGGCTACAAAAGATCCCCCATCCATATAGGTCTTGAGCTTAGCATAGAGAGCTGCTTGGAGATTGTATAGCGACATTTTTTCAGAAAGAGACCCCACATGAAATCCCACAAGCCTAGAGCAACTTGAGTTGGGTGCCATTCTGAGAGCCTAGACACAGAGGAACTCGAGGTATGCCTGCAGCCACTGCACAGCTCTGAGAAAGGATAGTGGAGCCCAGGTGCTCTTGCCTACCCCTAGGAATCTCTCCACTGCCCTTCTAGGGGATGCTTTTGAGACCAACATGTGGGTGGACACAATTTTCCAGTAACTGGACACAGCAGCATAGAAGGGATGGTTAGCAGAAAATAATCTAAGAAGGAAATCTGAAAATTGATAGAGGAAAGCAGAAGTTATAGGGGAAGGTAGTGTCATGCTAGTCAACAAAATGGTTAACAACATAGACAACATAAGAGAGAATAGCACAAAGCCTCAACATCTTCAAAGAAGTCTCACAAGATAAAGGCTGAGACTTATCCAATGAGCTTAGAAATTAAGCAGGACATTGATGACATTTTTGCAGAGTAGTTTGGTGGAGAAAAATGAAGGGGGCTCATCAGACTGCAATGAATGCAATGAAGGTGATAGAAGGTAAAGAGATACAAAGTTTTGTTTCTAGAAAAAAACAAAAGATGAACCGGGCACGGTGTTGCACACCTGTAGTCCCAGCTACTCAGGAGGCTGAGGCAGGAGGATCACTTGAGCCCAGGAGTTTAAGGTTGCTGTGAGCTAGCCTGACACCATGGCACTCTAGCCCAGGCAATAGAGTGAGACTCTGTTTCAAAAAAAAGAGAGAGAAAAAAGAAAAATAAAAGAAAACAAAAAATCAAAGAAAGAAAGAAAAGGAAAACTATCCCATGTGCTGGATTGAAAAAATTAATATTGCTAAAATGTCCATACTACCCAAAGAATTCTACAGATTCAATGCAATCCCTATCAAATAACAATCACATTCTTCACAAAAATAGAAAATACAATCCTAAAATATGTACATAATGACAAATAAAACTTAAATAGCCAAAGGACAAAGCTGGAGTCATCTTATTACGTGACTTCAAAAGATAACTACAGAACTACAGTAACCAAAACAGCATGGTGATGGCATAAAAACAAACACATAAACCAATGGAACAGAAGATAGAAGTTAATCCATGAATTATAGCAAACTCATTTTCAATATAGGTACCAAGAACATATGTTGTGGAAACGACAGTATCTTTAATAAATGGTCCTGGGAAAACCGAATATCCATATTCAAAAGAATGACACTAGACCTCTCTCACCATATATAAAAATCAAGTACAAATAGGTTAAAGATTTAAATGTAAGACCTGGAACTATGAAACTGACAGAAGAAAACATAGGGGAAGTACTTCAGGACATTGGTATGGGCATAGATTTTTTTGGACCAGGCCTCAAAAGCATAGGCAACAAAAGCAAAAGTAGACAATGTGATTATATCAGCTACAAAATTTCTGCACAGCAAGGAAATCAATCAAGAAAGTCAAGAAACATAACACAGAGAGAAAATATTTTCAAATTATCCATCTGACAAGGGATTAATAACCAAAATATAAAAGTAACTCAAACCACTCAATAGCAAAAACCCAAATAATCTGATTAAAAAATGGGCAAAAGATCTGAATAGATATTTCTCAACAGTAGACATAAAAGCGAATAACAGGTATATGAAAAAATGCTCAATATTGTTGATTATCAGGGAAGTGCAAAAAAAAACCACAATGAAATATCATGTAACAAATGTAAGAATGGCAATTATCAAAAACACAGAAAATAGCAAATAATGAAGAGGATGTGGAGAAAGAGAAACCCCATACATTGTTGATGGGAATGTAAATAAGTATACAGTATGGAAAACAGTCTGCAGGTTCTTCAAAAAACTAAAAATAGAATTGCTATATGATTCAACAATTCCACTGTTGCATATATAGCCAAAAGAAAGGGAATCAGTATATAAAGGAGATATTAACATTCTTACATTTATTGCATCACTATTCATGATAGGCAACATATAGAATCAGTAAGTGTCCATCAAAAGATAAATGGATTAAAATGTCCATAATACCCAAAGAATTCTACAGATTCAATGCAATCCCTATCAAATATCAATCACATTCTTCACAAAAATAGAAAACACAATCCTAAATCTGTACATAAACGACAAAAAAACCTAAACAACCAAAGGACAAAGCTGGAGTCATCTCACTACCTGATTTCAAAAGATACTACACAGTGGAATATTATACACAGTGGAATAATATACACAGTGGAATATTATTTAGCTTAAAAAAAGAATGGTATCCTATTATTTGCAGCAACATAGATATAAATGTAGAACACTAAGTTAACTGAAATAAGCCAGGTACAGAAAGGCAAATATCACATGTTCTTCCTTATATGTGGGAGTTAAAAAAATTAATCTCATGGAGATAGTGAGTAGAATGGTGGTTCCAAGAGACTGGGAAGGGTATTGAAGGGGGTATATAAGAAAAAAAATACAGTTAGACAGAAGGAATATGTTCTAGTGTTTGAGAATGCATTATGGAGACTATAGCTAATGAGAATTTGTTGCATGTTTCAAAATATTTAGAGGAGAAGGTTTGGAATGTTCTCAACACAAAGAAATGATAAATGTTTGGACTGGGTAAGGAAGAAAGTGAAACCAGATGTATATCAAGGAGAAGAAAGGACTAAGGAATTTGAGATCCATGTGTAGTCAAAAATCAAAGTAGGCTGAGTGAAGTGGTAAAACAGCTGGAAGCAGATAAGCCTTTGGTTAGAATTTAGAATATATATATTCAAACTTTCACATAGAAGGTAAAGGAATTATTATCTTAGTTCATTCAGGCTACTATGACAAAAATGTTATACTTGGGTGGCTTATAAACAACAAAAATTTATTTCCCACAGTTCTATAGCCTGGGAAGTCCAAGATCAAGTGGCCAGACGACTTGGTGTCTGGTGAGGGCTGGCTTTCTGGTTCATATATGGAAACTTCCCACTGTGTCCTCACATGGTGGGAGGAGCTTGGGATCTTTCTGGGACCTCTTTTATAAGGTCACTAATCCCATTAATGAGGACTCCATCCTCATGACCTAACCACCCCCTATAGTCCCCACCTCCTAATACCATCAACATTGGGGGAAGGATTTCAGCATGTGAATTTCGAGGGGACATAAGCATTCAGTCCATTGCACTGTGACTACACAAGAAAAAAAATTGACATTTTTTCCTCCAACACTATTTAAAAACATGTTTTAAAGAAGAAATACGCTAAAATTGTATGAAACTAAAGCACCGATTGATGCCTATAGGTTTATGTTACATGTATTTATGCAGTAGTAAGTTCCTAAGCTATCAGAAATTTGCTAATAAAGTTGGCAAATGATAATGCTATAAACAAAGAGTTCTTGGCTTCAGAGTAATGAATGCAATGCTTAGGGAAATTAATAAAAAGAAGATCATCTGAGATTTTGTCTTTTTAGCTTTAGGAGGCACTTTCTAGGCTGTCTTTCTAAAAATCTCTGGAGTAATCTCATGGGAAGCTATGTGCTGGCAACTATATATTTGTAGCATGCATAGCACAGAAGGGAGAAGAAAAGGAAATATAGTTTTTGAAATTGCTAATTCAAGTTAAGCATAAAAATATCCACTGACCTGGCACCATTCTGTCAATTTTCCTCTCACTTTCTGTGTTGCTAGGGATGCGTGTACCCTAAATGGATGGATGAAAGCTATTAGTAATATGTCATGAAAAGAAATTGATTTTTTTAATTTTAAAAATGCATCTTACCCAAGAGCTCTTTGTTGCTTTACAGAGATGGAAAAGCTCAATAATTTATTTATAGTGAGTTCAGAGCTAGGCAAGGTCAATCAAAAAAAATTCTTGCATGGTCCAGGGATGATTTAAAATTTAAAAATACAAAACTCAGTGATTGCTAGAAATATTTAACTCATGAGAATCCTCTTGTTTGTTTAATCTAAAGATATCTCTTGATTAATTTCACAGTATCTGATTATCCAGGTATTTGATCAAGTCACTTTAGTAAAAATTCCAATATAACAAATATATGCAAAGTGTTATTACAGATACTTATCATTATGAATGACATAGGCAATAGACTCTATATCTAAAATCAAATACATATTATCAAGTAGTGTCAAAATTTTGTAGGCCCTGGCATTTTAACTGCTTAATTTATTAAGAGTGTTTTGTTGTTTTTTTTTTTAGCCTGAATAATGTAATTTCTTAAAGGTAGATACAGTCTTGACATTTTGCTTTTGAATTTGAAGCCCACATTAAAAGTACATTGACTGGGATTCCTTATCTGTCTGCCTGCCTTCTTGTTTTCATTCTTCCTTCTCTTTCCTTCTTCCTTTCTGAATAATTTGGTCTAAAACCCAGATGATGAGGGCAAGGAAGGTAAGTTTCCAGGTATAACAGTGGATGGTTCTCCTGCCAGAATCTAGAATCTGAGCAAGGAAAATGGCCAGGGTTTGAAGCCCAAGTGAGAACAGTGGTCATCTGGGATTGTAGCCTAGTGGGGGCAAAAGATTGATTATATATAGGATATTGGTAAGATAAGTAAATATATTCAGAATAGTGGAAGCTAGGTTTCTTACTGCCAGAGAAAAGGTTATAAATATGGATAATGGAAAGTAGTAAAACCTGTTGTGGTACATTAGCATTTGTAGTGTCAGGGGGCCTATATAATTTCAATATGTATGAGTAAATACAGAAAAAAAGGTGTGTGTGTGTTTGTGTGTGTGTGTATTTTGATTTTGTAGCTTGCTCATTAAAATGGCCTGGTAGCAGTGATACCTCAATTACAATGAACACTCATAATATCAGATCTTGACTTCTAGACACCATTCTCCAATAAAAGAAGCCAGGTCTTTTTGGAGAAATGGCTGATTTCTGGGGTAGTGGCAGGGAAAATACAAAATAACCCCAGAATCTATCATGCTGGAAAGTAATATGGTGATATAAGAATGATGGAGATATATTAAAAGGATAGGAAGCCAGCTTGAAGGGACTACCACTGGCCAAATTGGGGAAAATTTGAACATTAAAATAAATAACAGCACATGTTTATAAACCATTGAATAGTATAGGAATCCATGACTCCATACTGATATAAATAAAGCAAATGAACCAATAGGTGAGAAGAAATAGCCCTTTCTTATAGTATTATGCCAACTAATAGAGTCAGAAAAAAAAATGCTAAAAATAGAAATTTCCTATTTCAATGAAAATCTTCTCATTTTGACAGATGTAGATGATTTTTCTAGGTGAATGTCCATATTTATAGAAAAATTGCACTGAGAATTAATTATGCATGATGTTGGCAAATTACTCTCGGAGATTCAAAGAAAAAATATTCATACTATTCTTGCAAAATACTATGACTGTAAATTTGAAATGATTTCAACACAAAAACCTTATAACACCATGATAATCACATTTTCTAGGAATACAAGATGGCTATTTTCAAGAATAAAAATTTATGTTGGACAAGTGGAAAATAATATTGCTTCTACTTATATTTTCTCCAGGTATAAAGCAAGGACAATGGGTATGTCTGTTCCTAAACCCTAAAATGTTATTCATGGGCTTAGATCTATAAATTTTAGGAAAGTTTAATATAGTTAATAACAGGAAAGAATTATATGAAGTTCCTGATAGATTACTAATATTTATAGACATGTTTGGCCCTGTGAAACAAACCAAGATTTCCAGTCATTCAAATGCTGCTCTTCCTTGAACTTTTATCCTCAACTGCAACCTGGGAAAAAAGTACTATCAGAAAATAACTGTTGTTCAAGAAACAGGAGCACAGAATCACCAGAGATGTCTGGATAACAGGGCTAGTTCCTATGGGGGAGCAGTACGGGAAGTGGAGTGAAAAGGCAAATTCTTAGCACAGTCTTGTAACTATGTGAAACCCCAAGTGTTCTAACTCCTGTGTCTACTGACAGTATTGTATAAACCCTGGCCTCATTGTAAGTCATTGATAAATGCATGACATTCCTTGATTACTTAATGTTTTGCAATTTTCCTGCTTTTTGTGTGTTTCACTTGAAATTTAGAACTTCAAAAACTGGGGTTTCCTCAGACTCTGATAATAGTTTGTATTTTTGATACTTTCTAAGACATTCAGAAAGCTTTCTTGAGAGCACAGACCTGTTAAGATTTGTATAGCAACATATTTACTCACTTCAACAATCTATAATATCTTTAATAGAGACAAAATCAATGTATAAAATAGCCTTTTATTTAAGTGAAATTCTATCTACTTTCCTACATATATTTTTCCTATGTCATTAAACATTTTTCAAAACATAAACTTTTATAGCAGCAAAAAATTTCATTTGAGGGCATAGAATAATTGATTCAGTTATCCTCCATTGTTGGACATTTAGATCGTTTATGTATTTTTTTTTTTTTTTTTTTGCAATCATACAAGAGGAGGTTTATTTTCTGGCTAGCCAGGGTCCAAGCCCTAGAGCACCAACGCAGTGGCCACTCTTGCAGGCAAGGACCCCGACCAGAACAACGGCATGCCTTTTATCCCCATGGTGCACAAGCTGCGCACAAGCTGACTACGCATGGATCATGCATTGACCTTTAAAATGATTGGTTGCCCACTATTGCCTTTTGAAATAATTGGCGGGTTGGTTGCCCTCTATTGCCTGATGGGCCAGTCGCCCATGCTTCAATGACCTCATTCCATATTTCCCCACACAGCGGTGTAGCAAGCAAGCAGAAGCAAAAGTTTGCGGTTAGCTCATTGCCCCACCCAAGTAAATTCCCGACAATTAGAAGAATTCTTCTGCCCTTCCTCTGTCCTACAAATTCCTCTGCCCTTCCTCTGCCCTACATTCCCCCCTTTCTCTAGGTAGCAGACGAGCACTCTTGCTCGTCCTCAAGGTCTCTTAGGTGCTCTAGTTCTATAGCACTTGACCATAGATGCTGATATTGTTGTTACAATACTAGT